GACTGCAAGAGGGCGCAGGCTGGGCTGAGGGACTAGCCCCCTCCCCCCACCTGAGTGCATGAATTTCATGCACCGGGCCTCTAGTTAAAAATAATGAAGTAGGTAAATGCATGGCAAGTGATATGGGAAGACGTCCATGATGTATTATTAAAAGGAAAGGACAAATTACCCATTTTTATTAAAATATTATGTGTGCACTTGAGTATGTCTATTAAAAAGTAAATTAAAATTCAGTCCCTCAACCATGAAACAATATTTCAAGGGCTCAGTAGCCTCATATGGCTCGTGGCTACCAGATTAGACACACAGACGGAGAACGTTTCTGTCGTCTCAGGAAGTTCTGGCCAGAGCTTCCCATGTTGTTATGTGGCCGGAGGGAGGCCTTTCATTCTGTATGTGGTGGCCTTCTGCGAATGTTTACATTTTTTATAACAAATCAGCAGGTTTGCCATTATCAGAAAAATAGAAGCGCATTCTATTTCTAAGAAAACATTCTATTTCTTAAGTTGGCGGTAGTTTATTACCATTATTGGAGGTGTATGTGCTGGTGGGTGTATAACCTCCTTTTAAAGCATGTGTCATGAAAATATTTAAACATATGCGGGGGGGAAAGGAGACTTGCCTGGTGGGGCACCGGTGGCAGGCCAGGCCTGAGGCTGGAGAACTGGCAGCCGACTCTGGTTCCTGGACCCAGGGCTTCCCAGCTTGGCCACGTCACTCGGCCGGTTTGAGCCTCAGTTTCCTAATTTGACGGAATTCTGCTCGACCTGCTTTATAGGGTTAGAGTAAATTTTAGAAGCGTGATGATCTGTGGAAAACTCTGAAACTGCCTGGCCTGCGTGGCTCAGTGGTTGAGTGTCTACCTAGGAACCAGGAGGTCACGGTTCGATTCCCGGTCAGGGCACGTGCCCGGGTTGCAGGTTTGCAGGTTGATCCCCAGTAGGAGGCGTGAGGGAGGCAGCCAATCAGTGATTCTCTCTCATCCTTGATGTTTCTATTTCTCTCTCTCCCTCTCTGAAATCAATAAAAACATATTAAAAAAAAAAAACACGAAAAGAAAAACTCCGAAACTGAGAAACATGCTACAGAGACTGGAGGAAGGGTCAGTAAACAACACGTGGGTTACCAAAGGCCTGGGGGGGGGAGGTCCCAATACAGCACTGTGACCACCGCTGGGACCAGCGACCTTGCCTGCTCCCGGATATTTTCTAGGTCTCGCTGAGGTCGCCATGAGCAGGAGGAGGTGTTGCCATAGTCCCACTAATGACCTTGCTTGGAGATTTAGAAACAACTGTTTATTGTATGTATTAAATAAGCAGTGATGTGGCGTTTGCTGTTTGCCATGCACAGTTCTAGGCGCTTTACAAACACGTACTCATTTTATCCGAATGCAGCCCCGAGGTAGCCGCTGTGAGCATGCTCATTTCATGCAGGAGGAAACAGGCTCAGAGAGGTCAAGTAACTTGCCCGAGGCCACACAGCTAGGGAGGGGTGGGTGTCCAACTTAGGCTTTCTCCTTTCACCCTGCTCCTCTTGCCCCCATCAGATGTGGTCAGCGAGTCCCTTGTGCCAGTTTCTCTATCTCAGGGGCATGAGGTTCAAATTTTGATATGAAATCTCGTGACTGAGTGTTCCTGCCTAACCTGTTAGGCGTGATTCCGGTGTTCTGGCTGAGCTTGGTAGCATGACGAGGTGGGAGTGGGCTGTAGCATTAGGCCAGTCCGGGCGCCGGTCCGTGATTTGCCACTCATTCTCTGTGTGACCTCTGGCAAGTTGCTTAACGTCTCTGATCTTCCAGGGGTTTTGTGAAGGTGACGTTAACCGACTGTGACAGTGCTCGTCCTGTTGGGCAGGCGGTCGAGGCCTCCTTAGTCGCTCTCCTTTCCTTCCTCCTTACCTGCAGCCGCCGTGTGCTTCAGAGTCCATGCCTGTCTTCCAGGAGTCCACAGAAGGCCAAGGTGGGGGCTGGGGAACCTTGGAGATCAGGAGTCAGGGGACTTGCGTTGGTGCCGTTGGACAGGTTTCTCTGATTACCTGTAAGTGGGGGCCTGGGTGGGCAGCTTTCTGATTTGTCACGTTTAGGCCAGGACAAGCCTGTGCCGGCGGGGCCAGCGCTGCGGCGAGTGGGCATGGGGTGCGTCACCTTTTCCCTTCAGGCCGCTCTTGTCACCGCTGTGCAGCTTCCTCTCCACAGC